TGTGTGTGTGTGAAATGTTGGAAAATCTGAAAGTACTTATTGTGGCCTTTTTCCAGGCACTGGGTACCGGATTCTCCCAGTTTGCTCAGCCAGTGTTTCAGAGGTGCATATATTGCATTCAAACTCATCAGTTGGCAAAGGTTTTAATTCCCATGATATCCATTCACTGAGTCAGTAGCTTTAGTGTTTTCCTGTGTAATGTGGTTTTGCCTAGCATTTTCTATCTTGTCATTTTAGATTTTTTGTTTGCAGATATTTGACTTAGACTCTCTCTAGAACCTCACAGGATGATAAATATGTTGTTCTTTTGAACCTTTGCACATTTTTACTTCAGTGAATGTTCATATGAATTTGCTTTCGTACTATTAGTATCTTGCACGGTGGGTATAGAACTTATCTCTGCCCATCTACTTAATAGGTCGAATTTTTATTTATGTATGAAGTCCTACTGTTTTATATATTGTAATCATTATGTAGAGCATTGGTTCTAGTTTTGTTCTTTTCCGACTCCACTCAAGCTTATTGACCAAATCCTATGCATTTATATATTTCAACGTGGCTGAGTATCATAAGTTTTGTTTTAGGTCAATCCTGTGTCAGCTGGTGCACACTATGATAAAGAGTTTATTGTTTGCTCCTTGGATCTTGTCTCTAGCCTTGCTGAGGGTCTTGGTCCCAGAATTGAGAGTTTGGTACTTCAATTCTCCTTAATGCCTTATATAATAAATTTGATCATGTGCCATGTTTGCATGCGACTGTTAGTCACAAGTAGTTATATATTGATCTCTCTTGAGAAGAGGAATCCGACATTGATAAGAGAGTTATGGAAATGAACCTCTTGAGAAAAACTCTCAGCAAGCATGTTTATATAAGAACAGTGTACAGGCAAGACCCATGATTATAGGGACGGAAACAAAAGTTACAATAAGTCAGTATCCCTAATTATAATCTACTAAATATAAGACGGAGAGATAAAGAAATTATCCTATTATATCTCAACAATGGTGTTCTTTCTATATATAAGAAGGATCTGCGTTAATAGAAACAAGAAGAGGTGAAACCTTATTGCTGGGGTATTTAGGTGCAGCCTCTGAGTATATTTCAATACTATTGTCTTTTAATCTTTGTTCACTTGTATATTTTTAAATAGTTTGGTTCATGTTGTAAAGCTTTTAAGTCTATAAGAGTAATAATATATGTGTATATATTCTTTCTGTTGCTTGCTCATGTTGTTAGAGTCCTGTAAGGTTAAAAGTGAAAATAGCCCAAACATCATTGTTGACCTCATCACTTTTTTCAGGTTGCCTTTTAGGATTCACAAATTTTATTGCATCTTTGTCCATACTAATATTGGTGAGTTGTAGGTATCACAAAGTAACTTGAGGGATATGTTGCTGCAATGTTGTATGGATGATGCCTGTGATGTCCGACAAAGTGCTTTTGCACTGCTTGGAGATCTTGCTAGAGTAAGTTAGTAATGTTCTCATTTGAGTCCACATTAATCTAGGCCACACCTCACAAACTGATTACACTCTGTACCAAGAGCATTTTTGCCTTCCAGTGACATTTGAGAACTAAAATTAGTGATCTCTTTTTCCTGGCATTTGCTTCAACTATCTTCTACTTGTTAAACTTGACTGCAGTCAGATTTTCAGAAGTTTATATTTTGATTAGGTTTGTCCAGTGCATTTGCATCCTCGCCTGCACGAGTTTCTGGATGCTGCTGCTAAGCAATTGGTTAGTAAATAAACATACTTGGTTAATAGCTATACTTTTGCAAACCATCAGTTAACTAATAATTGCTCTTACCAGAGCACCCCAAAGCTGAAGGAAACTGTGTCTGTTGCCAACAATGCTTGCTGGGCTCTTGGAGAGCTTGCAGTTAAGGTACGGCATTTTTTTCTCATAATCAAAACGTGTCGTTTGCATTAGTAATTCGTTCTGGGGGGAGAAAGCGAGTCCCTGTAGTCACAATTCTATAAATTCCATTTACTATAGAAGTTCGCAAAGGTCAGAGGTGGGCAGCGTAGCGGCGACGGACAAGTGGGGAATGTTGGGGCGAATCATAAATAGGTCGAAATTGGAAAATTTTTCCCGAGACTGAAATATGTCGTATCATGCACTTCATTACTAATGAACTCTTTTAACTTCATTTCCAGATTGGTGGTTATTTTTTGTTACTTCTGAACTATTTGCGGTTGTTTGTCCCACATGGTCTTTATTGATAGCTTGATAGTATATTTGTTGTTGTATCCTTTACAACTACAAATTAAAAGATCTATCTAGTTTGTGTTGTCTTTAAGTTTAGCTGAGGCTTGACATTTTGTGTTCTCGTTTTCTTTCTTCAATTGCAGGTTCACAAGGAGATCTCTCCTGTTGTCCTGACTGTGCTCTCGTGCTTGGTCCCAATACTTAAATATCCCGAGGTACTATATAATCCATGCTTAGTCTTAGGTTGCTTGTTATCTAACTGTTATTTCCTGAGGCTGGATTATGCAATTTCATGTTTAGGACTTGCACTCTACTCTTGTAGGAAGTTTCCCCTTGGGTCTATTTTATGTAGTCGCTTCTATCTTCATCGCAGCTTAACATTCAAGTTGCACGGTTTCTGAGTATATTTTGGTTGTGTTGTATCAAATACTTATTAAATTCTGTTTATATGAAAATTACCTTATTTCCATCAATTTGATAAGAACTGAAATTAGGATGACATTCTTTTTAAATACAATTTTGACCAAGCTAATTAGATAATTTTCAAGAAAGCACATCCCTTAACTGCAAAAGGTAGGAAAGGACAAATGCTAAACTTTTATGAGATGACAAAGACATTTTTGCAGCCTTGGCGTTTGAGTATTGTGGAATCATGTTAGTTTGGTGGCACACGAATTATTATAATCCTTCCTAGGAAGGTTGTAGAAGTATCTTAAGTGGTGTTCTTATTGTGTGATTTTCTTTGTGAAGGGTCTGAACAAATCTCTCGTAGAAAATAGTGCCATTGCACTTGGAAGACTAGCTTGGGTTTGTCCAGAGCTCGTCTCACCACACATGGAGCATTTTATGCAGCCGTGGTGTGTTGCTTTGTCTGTGTAAGTTCTGGCTCTCCCCTGTAATTGTGATGAATGGTGTTTCTTGTGGCAGCCTCCTGTCAAACTGTTTGGCGACAGGCCACTTCCTTAAAATTGACTTCTAATCTTTTATTAGACGCCAAAAATAGAAAACTCCAAAAATAACAAAAATTGACCTGCAATGCTGAAACTTGAACCCTAAAAGGTGAAAAAGCTAAAAACCGTTTAAAATTCAAAATCCTAACCACCACCATAATCTTGAAAAAACTAAAAGAACAAGAAAACTGAAATTAGAACCTTAGAAGCTGAAAAAAGAAAACTGAATAACCGAATTATTTTACTCCGTTTGGCGAAATACATTCCGTCAGGCGGTTTAACACAAGTTTTTATACTTCATCAACATCAAATCATCAATGTTGGGTTCTGTCAACTTGTAACAGGATACGTGATGGCAGAGAGAAAGCGGATGCTTTCAGAGGTTTATGCGCTCTGGTAATGTTCTTATATTTTATTCCAGTACGACTCTGATGATCATTACATTATTTTGCCATTTTACTGTCACTATTGGCTTGCAGGTTAGAGCAAATCCATCTGGGTCTTTGAATTCTATTGTTATCATGTGCAAGGCTATCGCAAGTTGGCACGTGAGTGATGTAATATATTAGAGATTTTATCTTTACGTGAAAGAAGTGCATACATCAATTTAATTTACTTTCTTTATGTTTTCATCGTCTATCTCTCCTCTCCCTCCCTTCACAGGAAATGAGTGAGGATTTACACAATGAAATTTGCCAAGTGTTGCACGGTTATAAACAAGTAAGCAGCTCCTAATTTTATATTTGAGTTCATTGATGGAGTATTACCGTGTAAACATTAGATAGCCAAGATTGTTGAATGGGATTACCTCACAGCTAAAAGCAAAGCTAAACCAATTGGCTAAAAGGAAATTTTTAGGATTAGGATCATGTTGCTTTTTGTAAATATATAATTACAGAAATTACTCATGAGGTTCAGGTGATTTAAATAAAGAAAGAAAATAAAAACAGGAAAGAAAGCACCTGATGTTGAATATTTGGTTCTACCCGGGCTTGTAATCACTCTCGATAAAGGAGAACCAGAAAAACTGATGCTTTGGTAACAAACAGATGCTAAAGGATGGAGCTTGGGAACAATGCATGTCGGCCTTGGAGCCACCTGTCAAGGACAAGCTGTTGAGGCATCAGGTGTGATCCGAAGTTAGCTGCTTTTCGGAGGTTTTCATTCATTCAGTCTACAACATATGTCTCCGTTCGATACCTGGAGTTTTTGTACAGGGCATCTAATAAGGAGTTTTGCCAATTTTCTTATCCCTTTTTTGGATTAGAGCATGGAGTAGCCGAATTCTTGAACGTGACTTAGGAAGTTGTCAATACGTTTTTAGGGGCTTCGGATAGATGGATTTTACGCCCGTCGTTGTTCTTAGGAGGGCGGGGACAATGTACACTGTGCCATAGCCTTTAGTGTGAGTGTTCTGATGGGGAAAGAAAATGTTTACCGGAATTTATTAGTCTCTGATGACACTTTCAAGAATTCAGCTACTCCATTCTCTAAACTTATGTTATGACGAGTGAACTCGTCCAGACTCACTAAAACTTGTCTGAACACGTGAGCTCACTAGGTTGAGGATGTATTTTAATAATACACTTGAATACTTGAGGTTAAATAAATATTTGAGATATTATTTTTATGTCTCCATCTATATCTAATATAAAGAAGTTTGTTGCACGGTAGCTATTATAATGCTTTATTCCTTTAGCTATTGCGAAGGCTATTTACTTTCTTACCTTTGCCCATTTCTGGCCTTAATTTTTCCGAACCGCCGGAATCTGGTATGATCTCCCTCTTTCATTCCATCAAACCAACGAACGCCTGCCACCGTCTAGCGAATGGAATTCGCCGGCCATCTCTCCCGTCCAATCGAACCTCTTTGACTTTGGGTCAAAGTGTGTTTTAAACTTCAAATTGTTCTACTTCATAGGTTGTGACTGTCTCACGATTCTTTCGGGAAATATTTGAAAGTGGTGATTTAATTAGGCGAGGTGTTGAACGTCAATTTTTCAATCAAAAGACGTGGAAAGCTAGCAACGAGAGTTCCAATAAAATGTGTATTTTGAAAATAGAAGATCAATATACCAAATATTTTGTGACAAATTATAACTTTGAAGATTCGAAAAATACTAAAACACATATCCAAATAACCCATATATACAGTTCCCGCCAAAGAAACAAGCAAAAGCAATCTTGAAGCATTTCCCAGAAGAAAATGAAATCAATTCCCAATCAAAAATAAGGAAAATTGAGAAGAAAAAAAAAAGAAAGAAAGAAAGAAATAAAGAAATCCAAGAACAGTAAATAAATTAAATTAGATTAAATTAAATTAAATTATTTCCTCCTTCATGATTCACTCGATTCCTTCTCCACCCTCGTTCGACCTTTTCTTCGGATTCCACCTACTCACAACCCTCTCCTCGACATTATAATCATCCAAACGTGAAATAGAAAGCCCGTCATTATTCCCTTTCGTTCTCCTCACGTGTAGGACCAACAAAGTTTTTACCACCCCACCACACAACCGGAGGGTGCAATGTAAATCCGACCAAGAATTTAACCTGTTGTTTTTACCTTCACCCTCTTTATCTGACAAAACAATAACCGCGTACTCAGCGTGAACCAGGGATGGATGGTGCCGGTAAGCAACAAAGTCAACTCCGTACTGAGAACCCGATTTGACCAACCAATTTTTCATTCGGAGGTGGGAATACGCTTTGAACACAACCGGGAGATTAGAGTTGTTGGACATCAAGTGACACCATAATTCCTCGTCATTTGCGGATTTATTCTCTCTCACGACGAGTTTCATGCATTTCATAATGGAGCTCAAGTAGAGGGCTTCCTCTAGACTCAGTTGGAACCACTGCTTATGCTTATCTTTTTCTGCAGTAATAATGGGCCGGCCGAAGCACGTTCGGATGAGAAGTTCGGTTTGGTCTGCGTTTGCAGCAAGGAGCACGCTGCTACAGCCTAAGAGCAGCCCTTGGGAATCTGACTCGGTTAAGGAGGTTTTAAGTCGTGCGATAGTGGAGGACATGGGCTCCGCAAGCGCTTTTGCTTCGGCTGTTCTTTGTTTCCAAATTCGCGACATGTTGTGCTTCACTGAAAAAAAAAAAAAAAAAATGTAAAATATAAGATGTTTTAGTGAAAAATGCCAACAGGGTAAAATGAAAAGTAAAACACATAAAAGACAAAATGTTTTATTGAATACTGCAAGGAAAAAAAATGGTAAATTTGTGAAAAAAAAAAATTATTAAGGACAATGAGTTTTGGTATTCACACATAAAAAGATTTAGGAGAAAGAGATTCACACAATTCAGTAGCTTTGTACTGCATTGTTCCAACATGAGTGAAAAAAAGAAGAAATGCACACTGCAATTTTTGGTAGGAATATGAATATCATTAGAAAATACACTGAATAATAACACTATCACCATAGTATGTAACACACATTTAAAAGTAGAAACAAGATCCATATTTTTCTACAGAAACAATATCCATATTTCTCTACCAAATTACTGCACAATATCTCATCTTATTAGTCAGATTTTCTACATATTTCACTATTTAAAATATGAACAACTCTTATACAACCATATTTTTTCAAGAAGAATACTATTCTTCTGCATCCAAAATGAATCTCGAAGCCTTATAAAGAAGCCGCTTACCAAAAAATTATTCTATTGGGCCATTAAATAATATAAAATACTAGGTCGACGCAGGCGGGTGGGACGGGACGGCACGCAGCTCGCCAAAACCCATATGTTGGAGGACCGGGGCAGGGCGCCAACGGGCCTATAAAAGGGCAGCCCAGCAATCCCTGTTGCGGGCTAGTCTAGGTAAGACTATCTCCAAATTATAGAAAAATAAAACCGAACTGTCATTTTGAAATATGTTGTTGTACAATTGTTCTCTATTTGAAAAAGTATTGATCCTTAGGCTAGTCTAGGTAAGACTATCTCCAACCGAAACTCATTATCAAACCCAATTTGCAGTAAATGTCACATTAAACCGTAATTCTTCTCCAACTATTAAACTCAATCTCAAACCCCAAAAGAATACTTGTCAACTTCTCAATACTACCCACATATTTAATCAATTTATAAATTGGACCCTACTACTATTCAATATTCGATGGGTAAAAAGGTAAAAAAAAATAATTATAAATCAACAATTCGTAGGCATATAAATTTAAAATAAATATTTATTAAAGCGTGCATGTCATTAAATTTATTTTTCTTATATCAATGTTAAAAAATATTTTAAAAATATTATATATTATTTGAATATTTGACCAATATTTTTCTAGAATATGCGTTTTTACATATAAATTAATTAAAATATTGTAAAAATGTTTTCTCAATTATTGAATTAAACTAATTAATTTTATAATTATTTTGTTCAACTAATTAATTTGTCACAAATGCAATATATATTCATGTATAAATAAATATTTTAAAATTAATTTTTTCATTTTTTACTAACTATCAAACTTATTAAATGTGATGTGCATATTATGTAACCTATAACTTTAAATATAACATCAATGCATATGCTTATAATATTTTTATTAACATAGGTGCATTTGCACATGATTAACTACTAGTTGTAATCATATACATAATATACAAACTAAATTTAAATATAGATTATATGATAGAGAAATGTTAAAGTCCCGTTACATAACCATTCCGTCGGGATTTGTTACTGCTAGAGCATAATGTAACCGTCGTGGATAGTTGATCTAACGGTTACGAACCTCGACGGAAAAAAACTAAAACCTAAAAGCGATGTAATATTTGAAAAATCATAAATAAAAGAGCCAAACCGCAATTCAAACAATATTTTGCTCTTGAAGTAGTTTCTCAAAAAACAGAAAGAAGCAATTCCAAATGCTTCTTATGAAATCTAGAAAAGGTCTAGTGGACCTTTGAAGATAGGGATGGCAATGGGCCAGGTCGGGCCGGGTACCTGCAGACCCGGACCTGGCCCACGTTTTTGCCCTGTGGACCTGACCTGTCCCGTGACCCGCGACGGGTCCAACAGGCCGGAACCATGCCCTAGCCCGTTTTGGGGCCCGCCCCGACCTGTGTTTTTGCTCCATTGTTGCTATTTAGTAACACACACCATGTTGCTGCTTCACAACAGCCAAAATAATAATAATAATAATAATAATAATAATAAATAATAATAATAATAATAATAATAATAATAATAATAATAATAATAATAGTAAAAATGAAAAATTACATCCACACAGTACATCAATTCATCTTCATTTTAAGCCATACCAAAATCCTAACTCAAGATAACAACACAGAAATTCATCCTAATTTCTAAACATAAATTCATCCTAACTCCTAACCATACCAAATTCCACAGCAATTCAAATCACAAGAAATATATTTCAATTTCATCATCATCTTAAGTTCTTAACATCTAATTACATACTAATACATGATAGCATGAACAATTATTTTTTTTTAAATGTATCAATTACCATATTTGAAATTAGAGTCGAGTCGGAGGCAGAGGGTCGAGGCGGAGACGGGGCGTCGAGCCTTTGTGTCGGAGCCTCAGAGGTGAGGCGGGTCGTCGAGGCAAGGCTAGGAGCGGCCGGAGCTTTTGGGTCGGACTTCGGAGGTGAGGCTTCGAGCAGTCGAGGCGCGAAGAAGAGACTGTGTGACTTCGCAAGTGTGTATTGTGTCGAGAGGCGCAAGACGCCGGACGGCCGGAGAGAGCGACTGCGAGAGAGATGCGACGAGTGATGGAATGAGTATGGATGTGCGGCTGTGGGCAAGATGCGAGAGAAAAAATTTCTCAAACCTAATCATTTACATTACATACTATTATATAATATATATAATTTTTATAAAAAATAAAATAAAATAAAAATCAGGCCGGGGCGGGGCAGGTCGGGACGGGCCGGGATACAAGACCCGGACCTGGCCCGCTTAGCCTACGGGTCGGACCTAGCCCGGCCCGTTATAGAAACGGGTCAAATTTGCCCCGACCCAAATGTTTCGGGTTAGGGCGGGTCGGGGCGGGTTCAAGTTGCTTTGCCATCCCTATTTGAAGAGAGAGGGAAAAAAAATATCTGAAATAACTGTAATTTTGTATTCAGTTCATTTATGGGTACAGCGTCAGATCTGAAGCCATGGATCTCTAATTTGTAGATTTATGATACAACACAGTGTATGACAAAAATCAAAAGTAAAGGATTTACCATCAATACCTTAGTATCTCTCTACAATTTCTCCTGGGCCTATGGGCTGAAAGATCCCGCCGGATCCATGCCGTGTCTCTCCCTCTTCGTCGTGGCCTCGCCGTCTCCGGTTATCTATCTCACTCTCTGTTTCCGCCTCGTCGTCGTCGTCGGGTTCATCCGGCTGACTTTGGGTTGGGGAGATGGGCTCTGTTAGGGTATGTTTGGTTCGAGGAAAAGGGAGTGGAGGGATTTAAATGGAATGGAAGGGAAGGGAATGGGGGGCGAGATATAAAATAATTTTACCTTGTGGAGGGATTTTGTAGGAGGGGAGTTGAGGGAAATGATAAATTTATAAAATAGAAGAGAAGAGAAAATAATGTTGAACTGACTATTTTACTCTTAATGATATAAGAAATATAACAATAAATTAATATTATTATTAAGGACAAAAAAGTAACTTTATATCTTCACATTTTCTTTCTCCTCCAAATCTTCCAATTTTGGAGGGGAGCCATTTTTACTATTTTGAGGGATTTTGGTTAAAAATTTTCCTTCTCTTCCCTAGAAAAATTGAACCAAATAAGTAAAATTTAAAATTTACCCTACCCTCCCCTCCCCTCTCCTCCAAAACCCTCCAACCAAACAATACCTTAAACGGGTAATAGAAATATATAGGTTTACCAAATAATTTACTGACGTTTAATTCATACTAGTACACAGTTCGTACGATGCACGAGATGCACAATTTTAAGGTCATTTATCCAGCCTTACAATTATATAAATGAATAAAGAAAAATGTACGAGCTATATATAGTACGTGAGCTGTGAGAGGCAGATGATATATTTATTTGGGAAATATTATATTATAAGATGCAATATTCAATAAAAGTTTTACAATACGCATGAAAATTATACAATAAAATAGTATTCGCCAAAAAAAACAATCATATATTATTAAAGACCTCCTATTAACTTGTTTGATTAAGTCAAATCCTTGATTCGTTGTTGTAGATGACACACTGATATGTTTATTGTTTTTTCGCAGGTTGAAAGAGAGGAACACGTTGATTCAGTATTGGGAGATTTTAATTTATAATTGGTTTATTGAATTATATGTAGAGACAATGTCAAGTAAAATCAGATCAATATCTGTAGTAACAAATAATATAAGATATTTATCGCATTATAATTTAAAATATATTGCATTTAAAACATCCAAACAACTAAAACGTGTGAAATATATTTTCATTTGGGAAGGAGATAACTATGTTGACCGATCTTATCATCATGTATAAATAATTAAAATTTATAATTGCATTTAAAAAAGATTCCACACAAAAAAAAAAATGCGTGAAATTTGTTTTTATTTGGAAAGGAGACGCGTGAAATCTGTTTTAACATCAGGTCAGATATTTATCTCTTTATAATTTATAATAATTTATAATTTAGATTAAAAAGATTCCAAACACAAAAAAACGCGTGACTTTTCAATGCTTCATAAAATCATAAATGCAGTAATTAAGTTTGACTCCGATCTTATGGGATTGTTTTTTTTTACTAAACTGATTTTATGAGATAAGAAAAAAAAAATACGTAATAAAAATACTTGATAAACAAATTGTAAAAAGATAAGAACATATTTCCATACAGTTAGTAAAAAGGTAAGAAGGAATTTTGAATACACACAAATCCTTAAAAAGATTGAAGCTGCATTTACAATTTTTTTTTTTTTATTTTACTTTACCGATTTTATGAAATTTTTTTATGTAAAGCTAAGAAGGATTGTTTTTGACTAAACTGAGTTTATGTTATAGATAAGACAAAAAGAAAAAAAAACGTAACTTAAATACTTGATAAAATGATAAATGCAGTAATTAAGTTTG